GAAGCAGTTTCAAATCCTCTTGGAAATAAAGCTAGATAAAAATTAGAAGTTAAATCTATGTAAAGTACCTATGTTTGATGCTGAAAATCAAATTTGAAATAGATCACATCAGTAGATATTATGTTACCTGATGTTATTTAGGGAAATGGAAATGTAGGGGGGTGGTGAGGGGTTAGATACCAGTAGATGTGAGCAAGGGAAAAGAAGCCACCAATGGTTTCTAATCTCTCATGAAGGAAAATCATGTATGGCCTCAAAGCTGTACATCTTCAGTCACCTTCCACCAGGGTCACTTCTCTGGCCTTTACCATTCTACTTTTCACTCACGCCATCCATGCACTTTGGCCTTTTTACACTTCCTGGAACTCTGGACAGCAGATACTATTTCATTCAGGTCTCTGCTCAAATGTTACTACTTAAGAGAGTCCTCCCGCCGAAACCGGTTTGGCTCAGTGGATAGAGCGTCGGCCTGCGGGCTGAGGGGTCCCAGGTTCGATTCCGGTCGGGGGCATGTGCCTGGGTTGCGGGCACATCCCCAGTGGGAGATGTGCAGGAGGCAGCTGATCAATGTTCCTCTTTCATCAATGTTTCTAACTCTCTATCCCTCTCCCTTCCTCTCTGTAAAAAATCAATAAAATATTTAAAAAAAAGAGAGAGTCCTCCCCCCACCACCACCCACCCTACATAAGATGCCACACCTATCCCTCCTTTATCCCCCATTTTGCTGTCTTAATACCACTGCCTGACAATAGTATTATGTCTTCCCCCAAATAGGATATAAGCTCATTTAGAGCAGGGAGTGTGGTGTGTTTTTTTCCACTACTGTATCCCCATTTAATCTGAATAAAATGATTAAATGAAAGAAAGAAATGAACTTGTGGAGTTTTTTTGTTTTGTTTTGTGTGTGTGTGTGTGTGTCTTTTTTTGGGGGGGGGGGGGCCTCCAAGAATCTGTAACGCTTCCAGAAACAACAGAGGACAAGCCTTTCATAGAGTAGTTCCTTAATGTTTGCTGAAATTTATTAATGTTTGCAAAGAGGCAGGGAAACGAGTACCTGAACCCCGCCAAGGTAAGTAGGAAATCAAAATTATCAATCCAGACTCGAGAATTAAAAGCCCTACTTTCTGCTAAGCCAGAGTTATTCTTCCCTTCCAATTTGCTCCTAATCTTTGTTTCTGGCCAAAGAGCGGTAACCAAAGTATTTCCCAGACACTTACTGTTCTTCTCATTTAGACCTAGGTCCTCGTCCTGCCAGCTCTTATACATCCTTGACCGGGAGTTAAGTGATACGTAATAGGCATTTAAATTACTGCTAACGAAATAAGCAGGACCCCAACCAACTCGAAACCCTCAGCTTCAAGCACCCTCACCTAGATCTTGAACCCCGGAGGAAGAGACCCAGTTTAACCGCTTCTCATTTAAAAAGTGAAAACAATATCACTGTAATTCTACTTTAATTGTGAAATCTGCACAGTGTAGAAACTAATATGGACTACGAAACGGGGGTTGAAAAGCCTAACTGACTGACTCGCCTGCTTCGGGGATTAGGCTCACTTAGCTACTTCGTAGCGCACTTCAACTCTGGAAATTTTCCAGGTTGGTTCGGGGTTAAATGTTTCTTAACAGGATTCCAGGTCGCCCCAGAAACCGTCGGGCGGGAGGAACTGGGATCTCAAGGTCTGTAGCAAACATGCCCACTGCGGCTGCTCGAGGCAAAGCAACGGAAGTTGAAGAGACTTTTTGCAACAGCTGCAAGAGTTTCGCTCCCGGCCGGGGGAGAGGCGGCGTGCGCCAGGCAACCCGGGCCGGGCCGGGCGGCGTCCGGCGGCAGGGCGTGCGCCGGCCCCGAGGCCCGCCTCGCCGGACCCCGCACGGGTCCCACCTGTGCCCTTCCTTCCCCACGTCACAGACCGTCCGGGGCGCAGCCCGCGGAGCCCGACGAGAACACGAGGCACCCTCTCCGCGCCCATGCTCACCCTTGGTCAGCGTGTCCAGCACTCCTGACTTTCTCCAAAGTACCTCCGGAACTGCTCGCGCTTCGAGTTCGGCGGCCTGAGGAGATACGGGCGGGTCAGTGGCCGGGATCCCGGGGGCCGGAGCAGGAAGAAAGGCTCTGGAGGCTGGCAAACCCCGCCTCGGCATCGCTACCTCTGGCCCCCTTCAC